TTAATATGGAACACAGACTCATTTCAGCTTAGTCTGTTTGGGATAGTTCACCCAAAAATGAACGTTGTGTAATGTTGTTTCATACCTAAATTACTTTTTTATTTTAGAACACAAATGATATTTCGTAACACTTTACAAGGTCATTTGTTGACAATGCAATAATTAACATTAACATTCTTAAAGTATTCTTACCCTTTGTTAATGTTTGTTAAAAACAATGTTCAACAGATCCAACTTTTGATCTTAACAATACATTTATGTTTAATTGACATTTACTAAGATTAATAAATGCTGTAGACGTTTTACTCACTGTTAGTTAATGTTAACTAATGTAGTTAGTTTATGTTAACAAATTAAACCTTATTGTAAAGTGTTACCAGTTATTTTTAAGGTCTTTTGTCCGGTCCATACAATATAAAAACTTTCAATAAGTGAACTTCATCCATATGTATTGATGCAAGCAATTAAAATAAACCAAATAATTCAATAGAGCCATTGAAACCTTGCTGTTTTTCCCCTCGACTCACCTAGTTGTTGCAGCGGGTATTTCAATCCAAATTCCTTCTCATAGCGAATTAGAATCGGATGTGTTATTTCAGCTGCATAGTCAGCATGGCCAGCAGCAATAGCCTCTCTATGAGCATATATCTTGGAAACACATCATAATAATAATTTGTGAAATGTAAAAAAACAAAAGAAAGAAAAAAGTCAGCACTGAAGTATCTTAAATATAAATGAAAGCAGCATACATGCATGTATGTCCCAGCAGGTATCGATTTAGATGTAAAATCAGATAAAGTGAAAGCCAATAGATAAGTTGACATGTTGGGGGTCGTTGGAAATTGAGTCACAACCCATTCTTCTCCATGTATTTCTATCGAGTATTCGTCTGAAAAACAGAAATGATATATCGAGCATAAATCCTTTTAAAATAAGCAACAGCTTTACAGTTTGTTGTTTTGAAATTTATTGTTGTCTGTATTAGAGACTGTATTTAAGTGTAAATATTTATACTTTTAAAAATAAAGGTTCTTCATCTATAGATTAAGAACCTTTATTTTTAAAAGTGTAAATATTTAGTCTTAAATACAACAATTTTAGTAAATCGAAAATTGTTCTTCTAAGAATTTTTTTGTTAACTTTACTTCTCCAATAATCTCCAATAATTTGTTGAACTTACTTAAAATTTCTTAGTAATCTGTACTGTTTGCATGCTATGCCTTTGTTACTCAGAAAAACCTTGTAAACATTACTTGACTGGTTTGAGTACCATTTTTTTTATTATATATATAAAGATTTAATTAATTGACCATTACAATTTTTTTTAGCTGTCTCTTGTAAGTATAACCCCAATAACGATAGCAACTAAAATTGTAAATTGTAATGGTAAAATAAAGCCAAAAATAGAAAAACAAAACAGTATAAAAAAATATTGTTGGTTTAACTTAAAAAATAAGTAACCTGGTTGCCTTAAAGTTGTAAGTTCATTGAAATGAAAAAATTTAGTTAATACAATGAAAGAGATTGATTTAATCATCAGAAACTTAAAATATTATGTTATCTGAACTACATAAATTATCTAAGTTGATTTGAAAAAACTTAAATGGATTAAGTAAGATTAACTTGATGCAATTAAGTTATGCTTACTTAATGAAATTGAGGCAATGAGTTTGCATAACAAAATTAAGTAAACTGAACATATATGGTTCCATGAAGAAACTTTAAAATCCACGGAACGTTTTCATACCACAAAAAAAAGTTGAAAAAAACGTATTTTTATACTGTACACTGAAAGATTCTCTGGGGAACTATTCTATGGCGCTGTTGCGAAAACCCCACTTTTTAAACCTTTATTTTTAAGCAAGTATATATATTATATATCAAATATGTTCTTTCATGTAATTTTGACTTTGTTAAGCCTGACAAGTTAGGATCCTAACCTCCAACTCCATTGGAGAGGGCTTTAATTCCAGGTCTGTGGATAATAGTAATCTTAAACGTAGCCTTCAGAGCTGGCTCATCAAAGCACGGAAATACTCTCCTCGCGTCTGTGGGTTTCAACAGGCTGGTGGCGAGGAATCTGTTTGTGAAGAAGTATTTATGCAAATTAAACAGTAAATGTACATAATGGCGATTTCATACAAAAAAAAACCTCAGGAGGCTTCTCGCAATGAACAATTTACCAAACAAAATAAATGTTTTAAACTAGTCATGTGACCAAATACATACAAATATATATCTTAGCCTGAAATAGCACATTCACATTTTGTCAGTCAATGAATGTTCTTAGGTGTTTTTAACCGAACTGAAAAGAGACATTTGTAAGACAAAAATATTAAATATAATTGTATATATATGATTAAAAGAAACTAGATCTTTACCTCTCTTCATCCTCCTCATCCTCGTCTTTACTCTTCTCAGTGTACCGGTTCACATACAACCCATTCAAGTTTTCAAAAAGTTCCCCTTCGAAGTTGGTAAAAAGATGATAGTAGGTCCCATTTCCAGATAACTTGCCCTCGAGTTGGATCTCGAGAAAATTACTTGCATTGTAATGAATTGTATAACTGCTCTTTAATATTTCATTTGAATCAGATTTCACTTCCACATTCGTCACATTTAGGTTGTGAACATGAAGAAAGATGGTTTTGGAGTCTTTCATACACTTAAACTTTACAGTTGAGTTCCCCGTGAAAAAGAAGGATTGGTTTGTGTAGTTGTTAGTTATCGCTCCATAAAAGTACGGTTGGAGGACGACGTTGTAGCTCTCAGGGATCAAATAGTCGAAGAGTCTGAGATTCGTAGGAAGATCTGTTGGAATGACCTGAGGTTTAGTTGGAGTAGGTGGAACCAGTGGAGGATTACCCTCTATTTCAAGTTGGAACATCACTACCATCAACACTAAACCGCAAACAGAAGAAACCGTGATGACCCCAATGCCGACAGCCACGGCCTTAGAAATGCCAGTTGCTTTGGCCATTTCTGATCCTTCTGAGAAACCTCCAAGAGTGAAGTGAGCTAAGGGAACTTGCTGAGCGTTTTTAGACTCTGTACCCTCTCACGGATCTTGACAATATATCAATTGGGACGTCAAGCACCACTACCACGCCTATCAAGGTTACATATTAACTAGCATGAGCCAGAAACACACAAACATGACTGTATTTGACATGTAGTGCGTTACATCGCTCTTTGTCCCACATCTGGAATCAGTCAAAGGTCAGCAAAAACACATAAGAGAGTTTTGATGCAGAGAAAAGAGATGTGCATTCTGAAAGTAAATGTACTTAATCACTGGAACAGCGCGGAGAAGTCCCATCCGGATCCTCTTGAGTCCATCTTACGTTCTGCCATAGATCTTCAGTCATCCAGCTGTTTGGGACCCCGGCAGAGGTGACAGCTGCGTTCTGCCCAGAAACTTCTCTGATTACTCACTGAACAAAACAAACAAAACATCAATGATGAATTTCTCACCCTTTCCTACTACTAAATCAGTTTGTCTTTGTAATTTGGAGTGTGTTGTTAGGGGAGGAGACTTTTTGTTTTGTTTAACTCAACCCTACCTTCCTAGTTTTAATCTAAATGTCTTTAAAATCAGCAGATGGTAATGTAGATGAATCTACTTTTTAGATCTAGATGGATGAATGGATAGATAGAAAACTGTCACTCTTTCAAATACTTTAAATATCTATTTATGTTCATTTAAAATTCAAATTATTGTCTATTTCGTTTGTGTCTGGCTCTTTTAAACAATAAAATGGACTAAATAATGATTATAAATTATCTAAAAAACAATCCTACAAATAAAAAAATTAAAAAACACTTATACAACAACATAAAACATTGTTGCCCCTCACCAATGGAACCAATTGCCTCTGGACAGCTGCGTTTTAAACAATCAAAACAAAACTAATGTTATTTAGTAAAATCTTATCAATTTATTGTAGCTGTTTGAGTTCCAGCAAGTACACAGAATTGATTTATCACTGCACCGAAAAGAAAAGGGTATGGTGGTGCCATCCTGTGGATGAGCATAAAGTACTGCACACACACATCACATTTCATGCACTGTGCATGGGGGGGGGGGGGGGGATTGGTGGACAGAACTTCTATGCACATGACATACATTATTATACGAGTTATCTATTCGTTTTTGGGGCTAAAGACAATATTTTCATTCCATAAAATCAAAGCAAAAACTTACTTCATTAAAGGCACATTATATGAATGCTTGGCTTGAATGCTGATCTGATCTTAATCAACATGCCTTTTCATTGGTCAGCTAATACCTCATAACGTAAAGAATGTATAAGCAATTCAAGTTTTACTCTTTAGAAAGCCCTAAACTCAAGATTGTACTTTTAATTGTATTATAATACATTTGCCCCAAATATGGATATAAACTCTAGAACGCCAAAACAATACATTTTCACTCATGTGAAAATCCTTAAAAACACTCAATAACAGGCTCGAACTAAAATAAAATCAATCTATTTCAATTCCAGTTTATGAAAGTGAGATTAAAATTAAATCGTCAGAAGAGGAAAAAGTTGTCTGAAATATAGATTAGATTATCGGGAATGTCATAAATTTTGGTCACAGATTACTGAAAACACTGAAGTACAATCTAGTTCAGGACATAGATTCACACAAATAAAGGCAAAAAATATATATTTTTGATGATTCCTAAACTGAAACACACAAGGAATTAAATGTTTTAAGGAATTAAGAGTTCCATTGCTGCAATCTGCTTTATCCTACTTTGCACAATAGAACAATTTTCCTGACTTCACATAAGCTCCTAAAAAATGCACTGGATCATAAACCTTCATAGCACATGTTTAGGCATAATTGTAAGGTTATTAAATGCACATATATTGAAACTTAATCCAGTTATTTGCTAGCAAGGTGTGGCTGATGTCTAATTAAATTATAGCATAAAATAATTTTCATTAGAGAGGATCAGAATTATTATCTGATTATATTTTTGGTCCATCTAATGTTTTTCCTTCCGGACGTGGCCGTGATTGTTTTAAGATTCAGCTTCACCAGAGCCAACTGTCTAAATGCTGAAGGCAATAGCAAGACTGCTGGAGGATTGACGTCAGCTCTCTGTAACTTTGCTCTTTCCAGTTGGGAAGGAGTCTTTCATTGTTAAGCGCCTGAAGCTTTGGCGTTCCCTCACGCAAGACCTGATACAAGCAGGGCCATCGGCTCTGTATCTGTAGTCGAGTCCTGCGGTCCAGAGTAATGCCCCGAACGATCTTCTTCGCCCGCAGCTCTCGCAGCGCTGGAAGGTTTAGGCAGGAGAAGACCAGACCGCGACTGGGCGACACATCCAAGAACTCAAGCGAAAGGGATTCAAGGGTGTACGAGATGCCTAAATTTCGCAGAGGTACAAGAACATGGAGCGTCAGGGACTTTAGATTAGGGAGCGATTTCGTCAGTGTCTGTAAAGTGTTCGGGCTGACCCCTTTGAATACCCAAAAGTACTTCAGTTCTAAGATACGAAGGTGTTGAAACTGAGTGATCAGCGTAACTGACGTTTCGGACCAGTCGAAGTGCAGCCGCATTTTGGTTATCCTGGGACAGCTGTGGACGAGTCTGGTGAGGAGAATCTGGAAGTTATTGACTTGGTCCATCTTGGTAATATTGTCTTGATGAGAGCTAGAACTGGTGTGAACACGGAGGTCGAGGGGCTCCAGCAGCGTAAATGTCCAGTTTAAATCTAAATGACTGAGATCACGGCAATGGACGTTCTCTAGAAGGTGTGACAGGAGCTCTCCCCATTTATTGCACAGGTCCCCTAGATCAAAACTGGCCTTCAGAGTGAGCAAACTAGCCCCACGGGATATAAGATGATGGGTGTAATGGTGAACCCAAGCTTTCCAGCGCTCAAACTCTCTGTTGGAAACTAGCAGACCCTCCTGGCCCAGGTGAAACACCCCACGGCGAGAATAGTCCGCAACTCTCCAGAGCTTCCCGGAGCGCACTAAGCAACTCCAGCTTGCACACACAAGGGCCGAGTTGCACTTGTCCACCTCACTGAGGAATGAGAGCACATGGAGCTGGCACTCCATGGGTAGGGAGTTGAAAGGGAAGTAATCTTCATCACCTTTAACCCTTCGTCTTGTGTTAATGGGAACAAGGGCTCTCTTCCGTTGAGGCATGTTTCTCAATGCTTGGTTAAATCTTCAAGATCATCCTTTTGTCTTGCTCTCTCACCGAGAGACGTTTGACTGCACCTAACATAAAACAAAATGCTATTTATAATGTGCATCTCAACAGTACAATTTATATCCAAAGATCAGTTCTGCCTGACTGTTATCTCTAGCACCACTGTAATTGTTTCAATTCAATTCGATTCGTGAAAGAAACCGTTCATAAAATTCATAAAACGTATGCAATGAAAAAACATGTTGACGTCTGCAAGTTTTACGATTTACATGTTTTAAATTAAATTGGAAAACATAATATATGTGGAAACACTTAAGCTAGTGATAACTTACCTTTGACATACTAACGTTAGCACATTCCTGAGGTGTGACGTTAATATTAAACGCAAAGACAACTCTGCTGTGTTTGCTAAGCTTTTGGACGAATTAAGGCATGTAAGTTATTTTATTGTATTTTTTAATTTTTTTCCCAAACTATGTAAAATAGTTTTATAGACCGCTAGTAGCGCGTTGTTAGCCTGTCACTGCGGCCTGACATATTTTAGCGAAAGATGTAAAACAAAACTGTTAGTTCGCTCAATAGAATAATTGAACTCAAACTATCGTGTCAGTCTGACTGAGCTCTAAATTAAAAAAGAACGCTTTAATTAGTTAGAATTAGTCAGGACTTTAGAGCAAACTAAGAAGCTAAGCTGTGCTGAGAATCCCTTTGAGGGGCTGTTGTTTTTCCTCGGCGAGTGACATCATCAATGTGCGTGCTAAAGGCTTGGGTGTTATGGCTGATCCGGGAACAGCTCTGTAAATGTTCTCCAAATATAGTTAAAACAGGTTTTAGATTTAAAAAACTGACTTGAGGACAGGCTCAACATGCTTTTCGACTTCTGCTGTCAAGAGTTCAGTATAAAGCGTCGATAGCGATATTTCGTCATATTTCTCCATTACTATTTTTTAATATCTCACGCTAATGGATATTATTAATAAAAGAATCATGTCAGAAATATAATTTACAGCGTGTATCTGGCAACGTTATGATACATCATAGAAATCGGTTCTTTCGAACAGGTTTTAAAAAGCGTGCTCAATGTGTTCTAGAGATTCAAAGACTATTTTTTAATTCACATAATAAGAAAGCAATTAGACTCCGTGTCTATATGTGAGCGCTACAATAGGCTTATATTTTGTGATGGAAAGTCAGGCTCTTTTCAAAGATTCGGCTCTTTTGGCTCAGCTCCCTTACAAGAGCCGGCTCTTACGGCTCCCAAAACGACTCTTCATAGTAACTCGGACTTTCATTTTAGCATAATTTAGCTATTGTAAATTATTTTTGAGTTGGTAAGCAATTTTTTAGTGTTTTAATAAAAGCTTTATTTTTATAAAAAAAAATTTCGTTTAAAAAACACACAGTTATTTAACATTTCAATATCAGATGCCTCAGCTTGGATTTTTTTCATGTTTTTGAGAAGTCTCCAATATCATTGAAATGCAGCCAGATGCTGCTTCTTTTTCGGTTTTCGCTCATTTCTTTACTTTCATCCAACGCTACCACTACACTCGCTATCTACGGAGCATGTGTCCCCCTTCCTTTCACATTATGGTATGATCCTAGTCTGTCCGCCCATGTGATTGGCCGCATGGTGTGCCCATCCAAAAAAGAAGTCCCGCGTCTGAAGATTCGGCTCTCCCCGAATAGGAGTTGGCTCTTATCGTTCGCTACAAAGATTCGGCTCTAAGAGGCGGCTCGTTCGCGAACGACATATGAATAATATAATAAGTGTACCACCTTGGCTGTATGTTTTTCTCATAGGCTATTTTGATATAGGGCCAGTCCACCATTGTCCCGTTTGTTTGAAGTGTAATAAAAAATAAATAAATAAATAAAAAATACATTCTAATACATGCAGATAGAGGTGAATTCAGGTATGGGACACATTTTGACATAAGATCACTTTAAAAATGTTCCAATTATCCAGAATGAACTCTAACTGTTTAATCCTTTTTTGCTCTAGTTGTATTTTGTATTTGTTGACATTTCTATCTACACTTACTTTTCAATTTGATTTATGAAAGAAATTATTTAGACCGGTTTTGTGATCCGGATCATGATTAATAGTGTTTTGTTTACATCGCTGGCATCTTAAGTAGGCCTAGGTTTTTTCAGAATCCACCATAACTACTTTTCTTCTTCTTTTTCATCTTAAAAAAAAGGTTGTTTATCACACTGATTTGAGAAGAATAATCTTAACAAGATATTGATATGAAAATACATTCCAGAAAATATATTCCATTCTTTGTTATCAACAGCATGAAGTGCATTAGGATAAATTTGACATTACTTCAGGTTTTCCCAGATGGGGGTTCGTGATGGAACTGCAGGGGTCCCGGGGGTTAATTCAAAGCTATTAGAGGAGTAGTTCACTTTTGAAAAAAACTTTTGCTGATAATTTACTCACCCCCATGTCATCCAAGATGTCCATGTCTTTCCTTCTTCAGTCGAAAAGAAATTAAGGTTTTTGATGAAAACATTCCAGCATTTTTCTCCATATAATGCACTTCAGTGGGAACCAAACGGTTCAAGGTCCAAAAGACACTTTCATTGCAAACTGAAAACTGTTCAAAGGGCTTTAAACGATTCCAGACGATGAATAAGGGTATTATATATATTTACATATTTCAGAAAATTGTACAATACAAAACAGATTAGAGAGACACTTTATTTTCTTAACGATTATCTAAGTGTAGCCTGCGGTTGTATTATTATTATTATTTTTTTTTTTGGAGTGTGTGCACAAGAATACTTTGTTTTTCACTATTTCATATAACTGCACAAATGATTAATTCTAGGGGTTGTGAGATGAAAAGTTAGAGCAGAAAAGTGTGAATTTGTGAGAGGCTATGGTGCTGTGGGATGCTGTTGCTGCTCTACGGAAACACAAGCGCACTGATCGAGCCGCAAGTGCACATTTAAAGGGGTACAACAACAACGCTGTCTTTGTATACATCTGAGTTTGTCGAGGCGTTTATAGGTCTTGATCAACATCTAGCCACAATTTCTTTGTGCGACAGTATTATACGGACAGTTTGGGAGGTTGAAAGAAGCAGTGAGCGTCAAAGTAGGGCCGGTAAATCAAACATTTTGGGTCTATTTCTTTCTGAGGCGGCTCGGTTGTCCTGTCGTCTCTGTTGATCTGGAAACGGCCGCCATCTTGAATTTTAATGCAAAAATTTCGGACAATCTTTCGGCAATATGTCATTTTTGGATTGCATTGGACTTTGGTGATGGACAAGCTTTGACGCAGAAGGCGGAAAACGTGAGTATTTAAAGTACTGCGTGAATATGGTAACCGAGATCACTCCTGCTCAGGGCTTTTCCGGGTGTCGCCTAGCAATCTCGCAGTTAGCTGCATATTAGGCCCAGTGTGATACTCCCATTATTATCGTTTAAAGTTAACGTCTAAAAAAATATTCACTAGAATAAAACTTACGGGACGTAATCATACTCTTATTTTGATTATTCTGTACTGGAATATCCACCAGGAACTCTGCTATAGATATTTTGCCCTGCCGGTTTGGCAAGTCTCATTGTTTGGTTAGCTCGATGCTAAGCTAGTTAGCATTCATAGAATGTTTACGTTCTCCGGCAATGGAAGAGGTTTAGCCGCACAAAAATCGAATTAACACTTTAAAGTCATTATATTACCCTCAACCTTGCGTTTCGGTTCAATATAGCAGTATTTTGGGGCATAAACTTCAATCGGCGTGTTACTGTGGTTTGTGTTGGGATTTAAATATACACCGACGCATACATTGGAGTGTTTTAACCACGGCAGAGAAGTGTACTGATGTAAGTTATCAACTAAATTATATGTAAACCATCGATTCTAGGAATTATTGGTCGATGTGACAGTATTTACAAGGCTATCGCAATTGTGAATTGTAGATTTGTAGTTTATTTCAAGGCAGCTTTTGTTATTTCCTACTACAGCCAGGGGGTGGCGCTCTATACTAAAGAATATTTGAAAAGTAATCAATAGCTCACACAACACTTCAGATAGACTTTTTAAACTGCATTGTGATCATGAAAGCAACCACTACTATTTGTGTTGTAATTATGTTTGACTAACAAATGCTGACTTTGACAATTTTAAAAATAAATGAATATGTTAATAAGCATATTATATTAATAATCTGTTATTTTATCTAGGTGAAGTAACATCTGAAGAAACTAGTTTGATTCAGAGTACCCTGGCAGATAAGACGACAGATCAGGCTTCAGCCCAGTTGTTTCTGCTGTCTCCTTGTTGAATGGTTTCTCACAAGCACACAGAAGCTCAATGCGCCTTCTCCAGAACGCCAGCTGGTATGAAGTAGATGGGAGAATCCAAGAACATGGTGCTGAATGGCAGGAGACATGGCAGCAAGTTCTCCAGTAATCAGCCCGTAAGCAAGTCCAGGCTGCAAAACACACAGAGATCCCATCTTCGTCAAAGCAAGGGCTCCCCGAGTGGCAGAAGATGCAGTCGACGTAAGTTCCTTGCAAGCCATCACATGGATTACTTGTTTTTTTCCAACTCGTTTAACTACTAATGCATTATCTTTATCCAGTCCTTAATGCTTATTAATATTCAAACAGGTTGTGGTGGGGCGCCCCCGGAGGCAGAAAGGCGCCATGTCCCCTCATCGGGAATGACTGCCAAGGAGCTGTGTGAATATGATGATCTGAGCACTAGTTTGATCCTGGATCCTTACCTTGGCTTCCAGACCCACAAGATGAATACCAGGTTTGTGTTTCTAGCTAGGTTCGTTTTCAGGGTCAGCAGTCATTAAGCTTGGCATTCATGTTGATGTGATGCTCCTTTTTAGGTTTCGGCCAATCAAAGGTCGGCAAGGGGAGCTGAGGGAGATCATTGAGCGTTTTAAGAAGCATGACAACCTGGAGAAAGCTTTTCAGGCTCTGACCTCTGGTGATTGGACGAGACATCATTTCCTTAACAAGACCAAGTCCCAGGAGAAGCTCTTCAAAGCACATGTAAATCATATATTTGGAAAGATCTCAATTCATGATTTGTACTACGTTGATGATCATTTAACAACGTTTCTTTTCCTCTCATATAATATTAGTATGTATAGATAATTTCAATTGTTTATACATATTCGTATTAAATGCAATTAGTGTTGTCAAAAATATCACTATTTCGATATGAATCGATACTGAAATATCGGAAAACGCTTCCAATACTCCTTTTCTGTAGTATCGATACCGCAGCTCGTTCTTCTTTCCGACAGCGAATTGACAGTTTGACACACCACCGCTTCCTCTCACTCCCTCGTCTCATTCACTCCTTCGCTTAAACGTTCAAACGCATACAAAATTGTCAAAATGCCCAACTCACTGAGTATTATAAGAGTAAGTGGTTGAAGAAACGCACGTTATGTAACAGTATATTAGAAATGTGCATAAGCTCTTAAAGTGACAACAGCCTAAAAAACTTGCTGATGTCTGTCATGTTAGTCAAAACTTTTGTAACTTTAATTGTAATCATCAATCTGTATTTAAATTTTACAATAAAAACTATCCAGTGTTATTTTACATTTGATTACTCTTATTTCTGTAGTATTTCTGACTTGAATACTACTGTTAGACCCACCTGAAAAACATAAAGCCGTGTTTTACGTTTGCCTCTTTATTGTATTGTATTTATTTGTGCTATTATTTGCAAATTGTTTATTTGTTCTGACT